TTCAGGAGCTCACATTCTTAGGAGGCTGTGTTAGCTTCTTGTTCGATCTGGCCCGTGGGGCAGGATCTCAGGAGAGAGCCTGTTCCCAGAGCTGCCCAGGATCAGCCGCCGGAGGACCGCACGGTGTCTTCCTGTCCAGAGTCGGCGAGCGGAGCTCGCGCGGTTTTGCTGTCACGGAGATGTCAGTGTGGAACCCAGAGCCTGTCACTTGGAGTCCGCCTGGGAGAAGCCCCCCAGCAGGAGGGAGGCTGACGCTGTTTACTGCCCACGTCTGGGAATGGAACCTTCAGGGCCTCGTAGGCGTTTCTAGTTCTGTGCCACTGTGGCTGCTGCTTTTAGTCTTGTTAGGAAGTGTTGTGTTTTGCATGCGTGTATGCATGAGAGAGAGAGAGGGAGAGAGAGAGAAGGAGAGAGAGAGAAGGAGAGAGGGAGAGGGAGGGAGGGGGAGGGAGGGAGGGAGGGAGAGGAGCTCAGAACACGTAGAAGATGCCAATTATGTCAGGTATAGTCTTGTGCTTTAAATTTTTTTTTTAAAGATTTATTTGTTTGAAAGGCAGAGTTAGAGAGGCAGAGGCAGAGACAGCGAGTGAGAGAGATCTTCCATCCATTGGTTCACTCTCCAAATGGTTGCAGTGGCTAGGGCTGCACCGATCCGAAGTCAGGAGCCAGGGGCTTCTTCCGGGTCTCCCACGTGGGTGCAGGGGCCCACGGACTTGGGCCATGTTCTTCTGTTTTCCCAGGCCACAGCAGAGAGCTGGATTGGAAGTGGAGCAGCTGGGTCTTGAACCAGCGCCCATGTGGGATGCTGGCACTGCAGGCAGAGGCTTTACCCACTACCCCACAGTGCCAACCCCCGTGCTTTACTTTTTCTGCAAGAAAAAAATTATTTATTTGAAGGGCAGAGTGACACACACACACACACAGACACACACACAGAGGGATCTTCTGTTTTCTAGTTTGTTCCCTAAATGGCCACAACAGCTTGGTCTGGGACAGGCCAAAGCCAGGAGCCGGGGTGTCCATCTGTGTTTTCCATATGGATGGTAGGGACATTTGGGCCATCTTCTGTTGTCTTCCCAGGTGTGTTAGCAGGGAGCTGGATCGAGAGTGAAGAGCCAGGACTCAGACCAACCATATGGGATGCCAGCGTTGTAGGCGCTGGCTGAACCCTCTCTGTGCCCCAGCCCTGGTCCTGGTGTTGTAGGCGGTGGCTGAACCCTCTCTGTGCCCCAGCCCTGGTCCCGGTGTTGTAGGCGGTGGCTGAACCCTCTCTGTGCCCCAGCCCTGGTCCCGGTGTTGTAGGCGGTGGCTGAACCCTCTCTGTGCCCCAGCCCTGGTCCCGGTGTTGTAGGCGCTGGCTGAACCCTCTCTGTGCCCCAGCCCTGGTCCTGGTGTTGTAGGCGGTGGCTGAACCCTCTCTGTGCCACAACCCCGGTCCCAGTCCTGTATTTTTCACGTTCGAGCTAGAGGTTGTTCTTCCAGCCCCATGTTTGTGTCCCTGGGAAGTCCTCCTCCTGGCTCTAGAGCTGCGCAAGGCTGAGACTGCTGCCCGGCTCCACAGTGACGCCTGCACTCTGGGGGGTTCCGTGGGCTCCAGGCGTGTCCCCGAGCGCACTGACTGCTGCCCGGCTCCACAGTGATGCCTGCACTCTGGGGGGTTCCGTGGGCTCCAGGCGTGTCCCCGAGCGCACTGACTGCTGCCCGGCTCCACAGTGATGCCTGCACTCTGGGGGGTTCCGTGGGCTCCAGGCATGTCCCCGAGCGCACTGACTGCTGCCCGGCTCCTCAGTGACGCCTGCACTCTGGGGGGTTCCGTGGGCTCCAGGCGTGTCCCCGAGCACACTGACTGCTGCCCTGCTCCACAGTGACGCCTGCACTCTGGGGGGTTCCGTGGGCTCCAGGCGTGTCCCCGAGCACACTGACTGCTGCCCGGCTCCACAGTGACGCCTGCACTCTGGGGGTTCCGTGGGCTCCAGGCGTGTCCCCGAGCACACTGACTGCTGCCCGGCTCCACAGTGACGCCTGCACTCTGGGGGGTTCCGTGGGCTCCAGGCGTGTCCCCGAGCACACTGACTGCTGCCCGGCTCCACAGTGACGCCTGCACTCTGGGGGGTTCCGTGGGCTCCAGGCGTGTCCCCGAGCGCACTGACTGCTGCCCGGCTCCACAGTGACGCCTGCACTCTGGGGGGTTCCGTGGGCTCCAGGCGTGTCCCCGAGTGCACAGCAGGGCTGACTGCTGCCCGGCTCCACAGTGACGCCTGCACTCTGGGGGGTTCCGTGGGCTCCAGGCGTGTCCCCGAGCGCACTGACTGCTGCCCGGCTCCACAGTGACGCCTGCACTCTGGGGGGTTCCGTGGGCTCCAGGCGGGTCCCCGAGTGCACAGCAGGGCTGACTGCTGCCCAGCTCCACAGTGACGCCTGCACTCTGGGGGGTTCCGTGGGCTCCAGGCGTGTACCCGAGCGCACTGACTGCTGCCTGGCTCCACAGTGACGCCTGCACTCTGGGGGGTTCCGTGGGCTCCAGGCGTGTCCCCGAGTGCACAGCAGGGCTGACTGCTGCCTGGCTCCACAGTGACGCCTGCACTCTGGGGGGTTCCGTGGGCTCCAGGCGTGTCCCCGAGCGCACTGACTGCTGCCCGGCTCCACAGTGACGCCTGCACTCTGGGGGGTTCCGTGGGCTCCAGGCGGGTCCCCGAGTGCACAGCAGGGCTGACTGCTGCCCGGCTCCACAGTGACGCCTGCACTCTGGGGGGTTCCGTGGGCTCCAGGCGTGTCCCCGAGCGCACTGACTGCTGCCCGGCTCCACAGTGACGCCTGCACTCTGGGGGGTTCCGTGGGCTCCAGGCGTGTCCCCGAGCGCACAGCAGGCTGACTGCTGCCCGGCTCCACAAGTGACGCCTTGCAATCTGGGGGTTCCGTGGGCTCCAGGCGTGTCCCCGAGCGCACTGACTGCTGCCCGGCTCCACAGTGACGCCTGCACTCTGGGGGGTTCCGTGGGCTCCAGGCGTGTCCCCGAGCGCACAGCAGACGTCTGCGCATCTCACCTCATCCAGACAGTCTCCCAGTCCCGTGCCTGTAGGTAAGGAAGATCAAGTCCAGATGAGCCCTCCTCCTCCCCACCATGGCTCTGTGGGCAGTCTCCCTCCTGACCATGAAGCCAGCACCTCCCTCTCGGCTGGCATTCCTTCACTGTCTGCAAGGTACAAGGACCCTGCTGGCCATCACTGAGTGCTGGCCTAGCTGGGCCTGAGCCTGCCTGAGGAGTGGCAGCCGTCCGGCCTAGCATTTCCTGTCCTGACCAAGCACCCCGTGCTTGTGACTTTACCAGAGCCAGGGGCCTGGCGTCCCCTTGCCAAAGCTTGGGTGGCCTTCCCCACTGTCACTCCCTGGGCAAAGCTGTGGCCAGCTGCCATCTCCCAGTGCTGTCTTGGCCAGAGGCCCTGTTGGCTCACTGGGAACAGAATCTGTCCATTTGGGGAACTCAGGCACCCAGCTGTCCTCCTGGTCCACTTCTCTGTATTTCTTAGTGGGTCTTAGGGGCCCTGGTAAGGAGCATCGTCTAAACCCCTGTTGTTGTTTATTGCCACCGGCTATAACAGTATCCTAGTCTTATCGGCTGGAAAGAACACAGACTTTCTGCCTTAATTCTGGAGGTCAGATGTCTGACCTGTGGCCAACCTCGTGGTGAGGGCAGGGCTGGTTCCTGCTGGAGGCCCCTGCAGGAAGCCCGCCCTGCTTTCCCAGCCTCTAGGGGCTGCCCTGTTCCTTGGCTCAGGGGCCCTCTCTCCGTCCTCAACAACAGCAGAGGCAGGTGGACCCCGTTGTGTGGCATCGCTGTAGTAGGGGCCGTCTGCTTCCTCCTCCCACTGTTAAGGACCTGTGAGGCCATTGTTTCCTTCCGGATCCTTAGGATGATTTGCCTGTCTTAGGTCAGCACCCTCGGTCCCTGCACATCCCTGTTCCCCGGGCCCAGGCCCCAGAGATCAGGGCGTGGACGTACCTCTCACGGTCGTCCTTGACAGCTTGTGTGACTGTGTTGCTTCAGGAACTGGGTGGGACCTGGCTGGCTCTCCCAGACCCTGGTGTCCACGTGTCTCTCTGGGTGCTTTCCTTGTGGTGACAGCAAGCTGTCACAGAGCCTGCCACTTCCTGAGCACCGGCTGTGTCTTGAGAGCTTGTTGGGAGGTCATAGCAGGGAGTGCAGCTGCTCGAACGCCCCTGCCCGAAGACCGGTCCTCCACTGGCGGGGAAGGTCGCCTTCCTTACTGACTCACAGCTTCGGGAGGGACGCCCATGGGGCAGTGAGGGAGGACGGGGACACCTGCCTAGCCAATCAACCCTGGCGATCAGTGGGCTGACAGGTGTCGCAGCCAGATAGCTCTCCCGTCCTTCCTGTCCCACACGGGATCCTGGAGCTCCCAGGCAGTCCCAGCAGGGCTGCTGCTGCTCCTGTGCTGCTCATTCTGTAGGCGGGGGACAGCGAGCCCACGGGGGCTGCTGCTCGCTCAGGTCCCGCAGCTCCTGGTTCCTCGCCAGGCCGCCCGTTCCCCGGTACTGCAGAGGTTGTGCGGCATCAGGTCATGAGCCTCACCTGAGTTCACCTGGTGTCATCTGTGAGCCGTCTCTGTGCAGCGGCGGTGTCGTAAGCACCTGGATCGTCTGTCGCATGGAGCCGGCGCAGTGCCGTCGCCCTGGGCTCCCCGTCCAGTTCACACAGATAGGTGCACTCAGTGAGCCGAATGTGAACACCTACACTGAATGTATAGAAATGGGCCGTTCGGTGTCCTCTCTGGTGGGTAGATGGGGCTCTGCTTCTTCAGGGGAGACCCCGCGTACTGCGTGCATCCCCTCCTGTTTCTCAAGGTAAAACCTCGCATTTGGTGAACTGGTTCTGTTATAAAACTATCCCCGTTATTTGGTGTTTGCAGCCGCCTTTTCTCGCCTTTGGAAAATGGGTTTCGTGTATATGCATCTGATCCACGTTATTGTTTTTCCCTTAGGACAACTACACCTTTGCCCAGCCTGGGATTCAGATGAAAGTGAAAATGCTGGAGGAGCTCGTGAGCCGGATTGACGGTGAGCAGCTTCCTGAGCAGCCCTGCCCGGGGCAGGCGGGGCCGAGCGTGCCCGGCCTCAGCGTGCCTGCGCGGCCTGTGCATGCTGCTGCGGACAAGCTGTCCCTCCCGTGCAGGCGACAGGACACGTCAGAATTCAGGGCCAGGGCTCTGCAGGGAAGTAACGCGCGCCCAGCCCGGAGCGCCCTGATCGGGAGACAGGCCGGCGGCTCGCGGCTGTCCTCTGGCACTCGGCTCCCTGCCTCTGTGCGTCGTTTTGCTACCAAGGATGTTAGAATAATTTCTCCATGGAATCCAATTAATTACTGAGTCTGGAAATAACATCTTTAATATTATAGAAAAATTATGGTGTGTGCTCGGGCAATTTTAGATTACGCTTTCATGTTTAAGTGGGGGCTTTGAAATACTTTTTACCTTCATCCTTAAAATAATTCCCCCTGCGATGTGCTGACTGTCACATTGCAATAGCAGAGTTTAATTAAATGAAAGTTGAGAGATAATGCTAGCCCGTCCCGGGCATATTCTCCTGGTAGTTAGTTAAATTAATGAACAGAGCATTAACAGAGTGATGCCAAGCAGAACTGGCCCTGTGTTTGTGACAGCAGCAATGAGGTGTGGAGCAGAGATGTGCTGGTCCATGCAGAGCGCCCCGTGTGTCGACCAGTCGTGCCTGCAGGTCTTCACGGCCCACACAGGGCAGGGTGCCTCCGGCCTGAGCCTGGAGCGTTGTCTCACTGCACACACCCTGTTCCGCTCTGTTGTTTATTTATCTGAAAGGCAGAGTTGGGGGGGGGAGGGAGAGACAGAAAGATCCATCCAGTTGATCAGCTGATCAGTCTCCCAGGTGAGTGGCGGGACCCAAGGATCTGGGCCGTCTCCTGCTTTCCCAGCCTCAGGAGCGGGGGGCTGGGCTGGACTCCAGGTCTGTCACTCAGATTGGAGGCCGGAGGCGGCTTCACCCGCTGTGCCGCGGTGCTGGCCCCTCATGCTCTGGGTATGACCCACGCAGGGCAGGACCTCTGACTGTCTTGTTGCACATCCAGAGGGTTGGGCTCTGCTTGTGATCCAGTCCCGTGCCTGCCGTCTCAGTGCTGGGGCTCCCCCTGCCGCTCCCCCTCACTGTGCTCCGGCGGGGAGCTGCTGGATAGCATTGTGCCTGCCGTCTCAGTGCTGGGGGCTCCCCCTGCCGCTCCCCTCACTGTGCTCCGGCGGGGAGCCGCTGGATAGCATTGTGCCTGCCGTCTCAGTGCTGGGGCTCCCCCTGCCGCTCCCCTCACTGTGCTCCGGCGGGGAGCCGCTGGGTAGCATTGTGCCTGCCGTCTCAGTGCTGGGGCTCCCCCCTGCCGCTCCCCCTCACTGTGCTCCGGCGGGGAGCCGCTGGGTAGTATTGTGCCTGCCGTCTCAGTGCTGGGGCTCCCCCTGCCGCTCCCCTCACTGTGCTCCGGCGGGGAGCCGCTGGGTAGCATTGTGCCTGCCGTCTCAGTGCTGGGGCTCCCCCTGCCGCTCCCCCTCACTGTGCTCCGGCGGGGAGCCGCTGGGTAGCCTTGTGGAACAGGGCTGTACAATTATCAACTCCATTTTGTTCCTTGATTGGATCTGACATCCAGCTCTCTGTCTAATGGTTATTACCTCATCTCCGTGTTATGAAGTTTGGCGCAGTTCTTCCAATAATGCTTTATTTGATTCAGTATTCTATTTAGCTACTTTCCAGCCTGTCTGTTCTAGACGCTGCCTCTTGCCTCTGCAGGTACATCTATTGTGCACCTCACCGTGAGGTCTTGCTTGGCTGTGGCGGCATTTTTTTCCCTACCAGCAATTTCTCAGTGTTCCCTGGCCTCATTTAGTTCTTTGAAATATGATTTGCAGTGGATGTGAGTTACACGTCCTTAGCAGGCTCTTCTTCCCCCCTTGTGTCCCTTGGAAGGCGTACTTGTGTGTCCTGGAGGTTGGACAGTTGTGGCTAGCGCTCGTTTGTTCCGGTGCTGCGGCTGGGAAATGCTTGAATTGGTTCTTCGGCCGCGCTCTGGCTCAGGAGGAAGCACAGTGCAGACTTGCGGGGTGACCGTTTGAGAGCGGCAGCAGCGAGCAGAGGACCCAGCCGCTTCCGCACTTCCAGAAAAGCACAGCTTTGTTTTCCGCCCGGCTTCTGTGTCCGTCATTCTCCTCCTGCAGCCTTTTGTCGAGGGATCCGTCCTCCCCAGCAGCGGCGATTCTTTGGTCTGATAGATTTAACTCTGTCTCTGTCTTCTTTATTCCCGTTCTTCTAAAGAAACCCTAAAAAATTTCCTGTGATAGCGTCCAGAGAGGCAACCCTGGGCGGTGGAAGCAGGTGGTGTGCCAGATGCGCCACGTTTGTGCGAGCTGGCTGGTGGGAGCCGTCGCCTCTCACCGCCATGTGAGGAGGCGACTCCAGGCCTCAGCTCCACGAAGCTCTCCCCTGCCACCCTGTCACTCACCCCTGGAGAAGGAATTTGTGAGCTTGGAACTTCTGCAGGGACCTTGAAGGTCTCGTTAAGGGCGGAGTTACTAGGGAGAGAGAGCGCTGTCTTAGGGAGCCCGGAGCCTCATTGCAGCACTGAGGGCAGCAGTGGCGTGCCGGCCGCGGTCCCGGCACGACGACGAGGAAAGGCGCCTGTGTGCCTGCTGGGGCCGGGGCTGTGCTGCTCTGTGAAGGGAGGGGAGAGGAGCTCTGGTGTCCGGCGGTGCCGGTGTGAGCACTTGGGCCCAGAGACAAGGGTCAGGAGGCAGGAAGGCCATGAGAAGCAAGGGCAGAGGGCCAGCGATCCCGTCTGCTTCTCCTGGAGTCAGGAGCAACTAAAGACTTTCTGGAAAGCAGTTTTGGGTCGGTTTCCTATTTTGCATAGTTTTACCACTCCCCTCTGGCACCCTGGACACGAAGGTGCGGTGAATGAGGGCAGAGGCCTGTGTCTGTGGTGGAAGCCACGTGGGAGGGAGGGGGCAGCCTTCTGTGAGACCGTGTGCAGGGCGGGTGGTCTTGATCCAGCTCAAGAGAGGGGTCAGCTGGCTTCGGGAGACCCCTGGAGTGCCTGGGGCAGGAATCGAAGATGACGTGCCACAGAATAAGAGGCAGTGTCTTACTGCCACTTGTGTTGGAATTAAAGGAAAAGGTGAGAACAGAGTTTCCCTCTGAAGACAACTGGCAAAGCTGGGTATATTTATAAAGTCAGTTAACAGAGAGAGAGAGAGAGAGGAGAGAGAGAAACTTCTTAAAAACACTGAAATGCTGTCAGGAGAACAGGGGCTTCCTGGACCAGAACATGCTGGAGCATGGAGAGAGAAGCCTGGCTCAAAAGTCGCCGTGGTTCTGGGGGTGTTTCTTGACCTAGAAGAGATCGCCCCACAGTGAGCTGCGGTTGGCAGCCTCGCGCAGTGCCCGGGTCGGGTCACGTCACTCAGGACGCCCGTGCTCCCTGCGAGAGCCCGGCGGTGCCACAGCCTCACACAGCCTCGCAGTCCACGGTCCCCTCACTGGGGAGGGCCGGAGTTGTTTGTGCCTTGAGAGGTGGTTCTGACCTAGCATTTCGTCAAAATGCTTCGAGAAGCAAGCACCACCTTTCCTGGAGGAAGCTGTCGGAACTCGGATTGTGCCTGCAAATTATTTTCCTTTTGAATTAGATGACTTGTGCACAGATGTCATGAAGACTCTACATGAGGACAGACAGAGAACAGTAACAGCCCCAAATGTTGAGCTTTCGCAATCTTTTTTAAGAATTTTTATTTATTTGTTTGAAACTCAGGGTTGCAGAGAGAGGGAGACAGACACACACACACACACACACACACACAGACTGATTTTCCATCCGATGGTTGACTTCAAATGGCCTCAGCAGCTGGGACTGGGCAAGGCCGAAGCCAGAGCCTGGAGCTCCATCTGGGTGTCCCCCAGGGTGCATGGGCCCAGTCGCTTGGGCCATCTTCTGTTTTTCCAGGTGCATCAGCAGGGAGCCAGGTTGGAAGTCAAGCAGCTGGGACTCAAGTTGGCATTCATATGGGATGCTGGCGTTGAGGCTGGCAGCTTAACCCACAGTACCACAGCACTGGCCCCAAGCGCTTTTTTAATTTTTAATTTTTTCAAATTTTTTTATTTGACAGGTAAAGTTATAGACAGTGAGAGGGAGAGACAGAGAGAAAAGTCTTCCTTCTGTTGGTTCACTCCCTAAATGGCCGCCACGGCTGGCACTGTGCCGATCCGAAGCCAGGAGCCAAGTGTTTCCTCCTGGTCTCCCATGCGGGTGCAGGGGCCCAAGCACTTGGGCCATCCTCCACTGCCCTCCTGGGCCAGAGCAGAGAGCTGGACTGGAAGCAGAGCAACCGGGACTAGAACCCAGTGCCCATATGGGATGCTGGCATTGCAGGCGGAGGATTAACCAAGTGAGCCACGGCGCCGGCCCCCAAGCTTTTTAATTCTTAGGCATATGCTCTGACACTGTGATCCTTGCTGTGTCTGAAAAAAATACGAGCAGAGGCCTGAAGATGTCTGCGGGGGATAGGAGACTGTGTGGGTTGTGCAGGAGATTTGAAGAAAGGCCAGTGAGGACTTCTGCAACTGAGAAATCTTACCACGTGGAGTTAGGAACTCAACGAAAAGGCACAGCAGATTAGACACAGCTAACAGGAAAATTAGTGAACTGGAAGACAGGTTTGAAGAAAGCATAGTAAAGCACAGAGTGTTAAGGATATGGAAAATACAGAAAGTAAGAGAAACAGAGTATGGGTAGAAAGCTTTACGTCTATTTATTTGGAATCATAGAAGAAGATAAGAGGTTGAGGAAGAATTCAAAGAGACAGTGATTGAGACCCTTCCAAAACTACTGAGTATCCATCAGCTTTAAGTACTACAACCACCTACCTGAGGAGGAGTGAAGTACTACAACCGCCTACCTGAGGAGGAGTGAAGTACACAACCGCCTACCTGAGGAAGAGTGAAGTACTACAACCACATACCTGAGGAGGAGTGAAGTACTACAACCACATTCCTGAGGAGGAGTGAAGTACTACACCTGCCTACCTGAGGAGGAGTGAAGTACTACAACCGCGTACCTGAGGAGGAGTGAAGTGCTACAACCGCGTACCTGAGGAGGAGTGAAGTACTACAACCGCCTACCTGAGGAGGAGTGAAGTACACAACCACATACCTGAGGAGGAGTGAAGTACTACAGCCGCCTACCTGAGGAGGAGTGAAGTACTACAGCCACCTATCTGAGGAGGAGTGAAGTACTACAACCACATACCTGAGGAGGAGTGAAGTATACAACCGCCTACCTGAGGAGGAGTGAAGTACTACAGCCACCTACCTGAGGAGGAGTGAAGTACTACAACCGCCTACCTGAGGAGGAGTGAAGTACTACAGCCACCTACCTGAAGAGGAGTGAAGTACTACAACCACATACCTGAGGAGGAGTGAAGTACTACAACCACCTACCTGAGGAGGAGTGAAGTACTACAACCACATACCTGAGGAGGAGTGAAGTACTACAGCCGCCTACCTGAGGAGGAGTGAAGTACTACAGCCACCTACCTGAGGAGGAGTGAAGTACTACAACCACATACCTGAGGAGGAGTGAAGTACTACAACCGCCTACCTGAGGAGGAGTGAAGTACTACAACCGCCTACCTGAGGAGGAGTGAAGTACTACAACCACATACCTGAGGAGGAGTGAAGTACTACAACCGCCTACCTGAGGAGGAGTGAAGTACTACAACCGCCTACCTGAGGAGGAGTGAAGTACTACAACCGCCTACCTGAGGAGGAGTGAAGTACTACAACCGCCTACCTGAGGAGGAGTGAAGTACTACAACCACATACCTGAGGAGGAGTGAAGTACTACAACCGCCTACCTGAGGAGGAGTGAAGTACTACAACCGCCTACCTGAGGAGGAGTGAAGTACTACAACCGCCCTACCTGAGGAGGAGTGAAGTACTACAACCACATACCTGAGGAGGAGTGAAGTACTACAGCCGCCTACCTGAGGAGGAGTGAAGTACTACAGCCGCCTACCTGAGGAGGAGTGAAGTACTACAACCGCCTACCTGAAGAGGAGTGAAGTACTACAACCACATGCCTGAGGAGGAGTGAAGTACTACAGCCACATACCTGAGGAGGAGTGAAGTACTACAACCGCCTACCTGAGGAGGAGTGAAGTACTACAACCACATGCCTGAGGAGGAGTGAAGTACTACAGCCACATACCTGAGGAGGAGTGAAGTACTACAACCGCCTACCTGAGGAGGAGTGAAGTACTACAACCGCCTACCTGAGGAGGAGTGAAGTACTACAACCGCCTACCTGAGGAGGAGTGACTGACTGAGCTCACAGCTTTGGAAATTCACACCTGAAGCTGGCAGCCCCCTGGTTTGGCCTCTGGTGGAAGTGGCAGAGTGTGTGCGGAGCAGGAACGGCCGGCGAGGCAGGAAGCAGTGAGAACAGCTGCTGCTTGGGCTGCACGGGCTGCGGCAGCGCCGGGGCCGTCCCCAAGTGCTGAGAGAATGGAGCTGGCACCTGGCCTAGGCGCCTGCCTCCTGCAGACACGTCCTCCAAGGATGAAGTCGAAGTTCCGGGAGCCCTCAGAATCCATGGTGTCTCACCCTCTGCAGAGACTGGAGAGGCCCAGAGAGCGAAACCACACGTCCATGGCCTCTGCAGTGTGACTTCAGCAGAGACTGGAGAGGCCCAGAGAGCGAAACCACACGTCCACTGCCCCTGCAGCATGACTTCAGCAGCTGGGAGCTGCCGCTGCAGGCCAGATGCCCTCGTGCTGCGGCTGCGCCACATGTGGGTGAAGGGAGGTAAGCAGATAGGCAGCTTGTGGGGAACGGAACCCCGGGAAGTCACGACCCCACAGGGGGAAAGTTCTGGGGTCAGGTGTGAGATCTGGTAGCCCGGAGCGCTGGATCTGGGAAGCCTATAAGGACTTGGGGTTTCCTGAATGAGGGGAACCGGTCTGTAACCAGCACGAGCCCAAAGGGAACGAGGACTTGGTCACAGGCTCCTGTCACCAGCGTTTTGCTTTGACCCTGGAGGGGAAGCTGGCCCGGCAGCTCTGACAGGCCACCGCCCACTGGCAGCCTGCCACTCCATCCAGAGAGAGCTCGTTCCACACAGGCCAGTGCAGTGGCTCTGAGGAAACAAAAGCTGGGTGACAGCAGAGACATCTGTGGTGCCAAGATTCACTCAGAACCTCACCCGGGGGCCGGTGCTGTGGCGCAGCGGGTTAAAGCCCCGGCCTGAAGCGCCAGCATCCCATATGGGCGCCGGTTCTAGTCCTGGCTGCTCCTCTTTCGATCCAGCTCTCTGCTGTGGCCTGGGAAAGCAGTAGAAGATGGCCCAAGTCCTTGGGCCCCTGCACCCACGTGGGAGACCCGGAAGAAGCTCCTGGCTCCTGGCTTCAGATCGGCGCAGCTCTGGCCATTGTGGGGAGTGAACCAATGGAAGGAAGACCTCTCTCTCTGTCTCTACCCCTCTGTAACTCTGTCTTTCAAATAAATAAAATAAATCTCTAAAAAAGGATCCTCACGCGACACAGTTCTGTTTATTTTGCTTCGCAGGCTGTTAGCATCCATGGGTTCTTCTCATTCTCTGAAGGCCTGTTGCTGGGTGTGGGTGCAGTCCTGCAGCCCGTGTGGCAGGCCCTGGGCTTCCTGTTTCTTGCACGTTGGCTGGACTTTGTGGGAAACAGTTTCTCAGAGAAACCCACGCAAGGGCTGTTCGAGCCGCCGACAGAGAGCTGAGCGTGAGACAGTGGCATTTCTGTGTGAGAGAGGCTGCCTGGGCCCTGAGGCCACTGATGCCAGCAGCCGTGATGGGCTGGGCCCCTTGCACTGCTCCCGTGTCTGCAGGCCTTGGGCTGGGTGTGCACGTGTGTGGCGGGTAGGTGGGCGAGCAGGAGGCTGCTCGCTCTGTTTGGGTGCGGGGTGTCTCAAGGCCCTGCTTCCCCTTGCCCGTCCTGTCAGCCTCTCGGCAGGCGTCTCTACGCCCCGTGCCGGCCGGGGCCCTGCTTCCCCTTGCCCGTCCTGTCAGCCTCTCGGCAGGCGTCTCTACGTCCCGTGCCGACTGGGGCCCTGCTTCCCCTTGCCCGTCCTGTCAGCCTCTTGGTAGTGCCGGCCGGGGCCCTGCTTCCCCTTGCCCGTCCTGTCAGCAGCAGCTCCTGTCCTCAGCTGGCCCTGGCAGTCCTGCCCTGCTCTGGCCTTGCTGCCTCTGCAGCTCCGTGGTGGGTTAGACTGGCACCCGCGGGCACACAGCCTGGCCAAACCGAGTGACTGAATGTGGAAGTCCATCTGGCTGGGGAGCCACTGGTTGCTGTGAGCAGCCTGGGAGGGCCCAGTGTGCCCGGCAGAGGAACAGCCTCCAGCTCGCAGCAGATCTCCAGGGTGGACCAGCACGCGCCTGTCGAGCTCACAGGTGTGCGGCCGTGGCTCAGCTGGGCTCTGTTTGGCAGCATCCTTGCTCTGGGGCTCGGGCTGTCAGAGCAGCTGCCATCAGGCAGATTCCCGGCCAGTTCCCGTGGTGCGGGGACGAGGGCCTGGGAGTGGTCCAGGGCTCTAAACATTCCCAGCAGGACATGGTTTCCAGCATCTGCTTCCGTCATGTTGGCTGAGCCAGGGCCCAGGGCTGCAGCTCCATGGGGAAGGGAAGTGCCCGCCTGGACCCGCGGGAGCTGGTGTTTGTGGGTGACACCAGTGAGCCCCGTGGTCACCAGTGTGGAGAGGGCTTCAGAGAGAAGTGCACAGGTCTGGAGCTTATCCACAATGTATGTGCGTTCAAAACAAAACAAAACAAAACCAAAAACCTTAAATCTTGGGCCTGGCATTGTGGCTTAATGGGTAAGGCTGCTGCCTACAATGCCGGCGTCCCATAAGGGCACTGGTTTGCATTCTGGCTGCTCCCTTCTGATCCGGCTCCCTGCTAATGGCCTGGGAAAAGCAGAGGAGAGTGGCCCAGCTGTTTGGGCTGCTGGTACCCACATGGGAGACCTTGAAGAAGCTCCTGGCTTCGGCCTGTCCCAGAGCCAGCCTCTGTGACCATATGAGGAGTGAACCAGCATGTGGAAGATCTCTCAGTCTCTCCCTCTCTCTAACTTTGACTTTCAAATCTTAAAAAAAATGAAAATCTAAGTTGATTTTTTTGTTGGCGTAGAGCTTTTGTCAAACAGCTTCACAGAGCAGAATTAGTGTCATGTAACGTGTGTTCCACGCCTGCGCTACTTCGGTTTTCCTAAATATTTGTAGACAAGGTGTTCATTCTGAAATCATCCAGTTAACTCCCCTCACTGTCTGTTAGCATCTCTCTGCTCCCTACTTATTGAAGGATTTTTATGCATAAAACCAAGTTTTCGGCTGGCGTCGCGGCTCACTAGGCTAATCCTCTGCTTGTGGCGCTGGCACACCGGGTTCTAGTCCCGGTTGGGGCGCCGGATTCTGTCCTGGTTGCCCCTCCTCTAGGCCAGCTCTCTGCTGTGGCCTGGGAGTGCAGTGGAGGATGGCCCAAGTGCTTTGGCCCTGTACCCGCACGGGAGACCAGGAGAGGCACCTGGCTCCTGCCTTTGGATCAGCGCGGTGCGCTGGCTGCGACGGCCATTGGAGGGTGAACCAACGGCAAAGGAGGACCTTTCTCTCTGTCTCTCTCACTGTCCACTCTGCCTGTCAAAAAAAAAAAAAAAATTAAAAAAAACCCACCAAGTTTACACCATGACTTCTTTACTGCTGCAGTGATAGGCATGCATCCAGGCATGTGAGCAGGTGTTTGCCGGGTAACCACGGAGCTTGCATCTGTGTGGCGGTGAGCCCCAGTGCCACCTCTTGCACACTTCGCCGTGGTGCGTGCTGCCTCTGGCATCTGCCTCCATAGGCACAGAGTCCCACTGCCCCGGAGAGCAGGCCGTCAGCCACCAGCCCTTCCCGACGCCCCTGGTGGCAGATGTCGCACCTTGTCCGCAACACCGATGATGCCGGTGTCCATGAAATGTTTGTCAGGTGGGGAAAGTCACGGGGAACTTGCTTCAGGGTTAACAAGGCTGTCTGAAACATCCAGCCTCGGCAGATGTGTCAGTTTGCCGTGTCCGTCTGTGCCGCGGGTCACAAGACTTCAGACCACAGGACCTGCGTCTCAGACTGAGAGCTGTCTTGCCGGAGGGTACCATGGTGGTGCAGAGGCTGCCCCAGGAGCAGAGCCCTGGAGCCCTGTGTTCTCCTGGGCTCCACTCTGCTGTGCCCTGGGAGCCAGAGACAGCGAGGCCCTGCGGGTCACTGACGGCCACGCAGAGCTGGGGGGGGCACAGGCGTCAGCCCCGGGCGTGTGCAGCGGCACTGAAGCCCTTCCCAGGGCTGCTCAGGCAGGGCGGGGTGCGCCGACAGCAATGTGCTCCCTGGGCTTTCTTGTCCAAACTGCTCTCTTCCCTTCGGTAAAAGCTGGGGTACTCCTTCCCGCCTAATCTTTCCAGGGCTGGCAGTGCCAGACTCAGCCAGGGAGAACACAGACCACCCAGTTTCCTCTGGGCCTCAGATGAACGGGGAGCGCTTTCTTAGGACCTGGAGGCGCACGCTGAGATCCAGACGTCACTGTGCCTTCTGCATTTTATCTGCTCACCTTTCAGGTGACTGCAGGCCCCGTGCAGTGGACCGTGTGACATTTAAGGTGTGCACAGACATTGACCCCGCATACATGCCTGCCTGGGCACACCGCTTGGAGCACACACACTTTAGATAGGGTCTGTGCCACTGGCACGGCTGCCACACCCAGGATCCTTGCGTTTTCATCTTCCTGGGCCGAGCCGATGCCTGTTAGGCAATTCAGCTGCCTGGCGTGCCCGGGGTGAGGGTGGGGGAGCGTGCCTCTTCAGCAGGGATTCTTGTTTGTGGTGGAGGGCTTTGACTGAGCTATCAATAAGCTGAGCTCATTTGACTTTCCCCAGTGCTGAGGTGTGGTGAGGCCGGGCACCGAGCGGCTGTAGCTCCTGAAGCCACTCTTCTCCACTAGGTCTGATGGTTCCTGGCGCTTTTCTGTCCTACTCATTATTGTTCTCTGTGCACCTGGTGTAGGGCCTCTCGACCTCTCTGGTGACTGTGCAAGTCACAGAGACCGACTGCCTTGGAGGAGGC